TAAAACGTTCTTATTACTAAAACCGAAGTAACCCCGTATTGAACCAGTAACCAAGGGGCTAATTATAATCAAAGAAAAACAGAAAACTGTGAGCGTGTACTGTCCGACCGATTGTAAATAAAAACTAGATTAAAATCTTATCCAACCTGTTATTTCGCACTTTCTACGGGAAATTTGCTAAGATCACCAGAAGCCCGTTGATAATTGCGAATCAGCTTTGTAAAGTTAAAAGACTTTTTCGTGTTCTTATTTTAGTCCTGGACTCGGATGTATAATTATTTGTATCAACAATTCAATACGGAAAATAATGAGAAATAGGCCGATTTTTAATAAAATTGCAAAATGAAAATTACGTATTTGTAAGGCCAAGCGCATGCGCCTCACAATATCTGAGGTAGTGTTTAGAGGCGAAACTGAAGCGCCGAAAATTCTCAGATAGTCCAGGTGGGATGTCAGCTAATTGCTCCTCGAAGCTTTCTAAAAATACCTTTATATTTCATTCAGGTTTATTTATATTCAAAAACGATTTTTATTTTTTTTGTCCTAAAAATGATATTTTTCGAAGCTCTGCAGGGTTCGTTGCTTTCTAAACGCATTTTTCCATTTTTGTGTGGGACATAGCTGGCTGCTAAAAAAGACTGCCTCGTTCAGTTATAATATTGTATAATATGAACTTTTTTAGGAAAAAATAAAGCAGTTATATGTCTTTGTTAGCATAGCGTGCTAAGCTATACATGGATTTTGTGCGTACCGCTGCAAAAGTCAGCTATGCATTGCTATATACATTGACACCTACATGAGTTTAAAATTGTTTCTAATAGTTACTGCTCAAATAACATCCTCGTGAATGAAGTAAACACTAAAGCAGGACACTTGTTAGCCAGATTGCTGTAAGACGTGTGGTAGAAAATCTCTCGAAACTGGTAAACGCGCGATATTGCACACTATAAGAATAAGATATAAGTCGAATCACAGCACAACGTATAACTAACGACTAGACAAACGTTGACGATAGTAGTCAGAATTTTCAAGGAGACTTTAGAAGTGGTCCAGACATAGCAATTTAGCCTACTCCATAGTAAAATATCGTGACGGTGCTTTGGTAACATGGAAAAAGTACTTGGGTACAACAAAGGCGAACAAAAACAAAGAAGTAAGTTAGATATTTAGACGGAACATCGGCGAAGGAATTTTAAAAAAATTCGAAGCTTGGATACTTCCACTAAGCAACTCGATCTTTGTTTTAGTAGGTTGACTAGGTATAAGGTTAAAACGGGTGATAATTATAGTATCTTCGCTATCAACCAAAGCTTGATCGAGAACATGGACGCATGTTGTTCTTCAATTGTTTAATAGCGTTTGCATCTTCGATTTAAAATTTATCCTCAATAACAGTCCACAAATTCACTCTACTATCATTCAACTCTTCTAATTCACTACGGCTTAAGCGGCGACATATTTAAGGAAGGTCTCTAGATTAACCTAAGAGAAGAAAGATATCCAGTAAGCGCTTCTAACCTACGCAAGGCTTGGTTGAAAGTTGAGGTGCCCTAGACTCGACCCTTAAAGCAACGCCTTGATCGACAACAATAGGCACTGAGTGAAGACCAAGAGTATAAAAATGATGTAGCAGGATACGCCGAAAGATAAAGCTAGCAAAAGTAGAAAAAGACTTGGCCGTTTGAAGCGGCTTTTAAGGCTGTCGGCAGTGGTAGGGAGACATGTTGAAAACAATTTGGACCTCCCAGACCGAAGAGTTGAATTTAGCGATGAATGCGGGATTTCTGAGGATACGACCATGGCACCTATCTTACGATGATGTAAATAAGGCCTGAGAGTATACGCTCATGACTTAACTATTACAATAAGGGAGTGGAGATCTGATTTACCTGAAACGTCGGTCAACAAAGTTCTAATTAAATTTTGTGAATAACTAGTAAAAAAAAAATGGCCTGCCCCTGCCTCAGCTAAAAGCAAAGGGCTTTTGTTCATCGGAAGGAAAAATGCAGATAAATTGAGCTTTTCTTGAGCAACGAGAAAATTAGAATGATAAACATGGGTAAACTATTAGGCTTTGCAAGTCGGTTACCTAAATCGATTAACTTTCCATTCTTTTTTCTTACTGTTTTGGTCTCCATTATGGTTTACACTGGTATCAACGACAACAGGGACCAGAACATTATTAACAGGGAGCAGAAAAACTTAGCCTACCTCTACATTTTGTATCATTCTGTTCGCAGTATCTCTCCGGCCCAGCTGGATTAATAAGCCCTTAGGAGAACTGATATGTTACACGACCCAGTTTCTGAGAGAAAATGCGAACGTCTGAGGTTACCTACACGAAATAGGCAAGGCGCTTTCCATGGCGTACACTATCATAGCTACGTTGGAAAATATGCTGAAGCACACTTCGGTGGATTTTTCTTTGCGCGAAGCTCTATTGCTGAACGTAAGATTTGGAGAGCGACGGGGCCGATCCCTGAGAGTCTGTTTGGCACATTTGTGCAATGGTCGAACTATGGCATTGAGGTAAATCACTGCCTACAGACACACTGCTTTAAAAAAGACTAAACAGAAGAAGAGTGGAGCGACTGATTAATCAATTAAACTAAATACTGGCAGATGCACATAGTTTAACGGAGTCTGAAGGGATAGGGGGCCTAATGGGCAGCTAGTCGATCATACGCGGGATGCTTACACACAGGCAGGTTACAGGTAAAAGAACCTTAAAGACTCTGCAGGCATTCGGCGCGTCTGGCAAGCGGGAAAATTCGATGCTAGGATAGACAAAGGCGCGAATAAATTTACAAATACAGTAGACGGCCCAGCAAGCCTTGCTTTAAAGCAATATTGGTATCAGCTTTAAATCAAGGTCCAAGGAAGCGAGATTCAGGGTTTAGTGGGTGAGGGCCTCACCTATTTGAAATGCTTACTAAGCGACAATTGTAGTCGACCAACGTATTTGTGCAAACCCTTCGCATGTCCATTCCCCTTCGCTCCAATTTCAATTGCACACAAAACACAAATGGCAACTTTGCTAGCTATGTATAGCTATGTAGCTGAGACAATAAACGGGTAACATCTTAAAACAACAAAATCGGAGCATACAGAAGAGTATGTATGCAGTAGGCACACATAGTAAATGGTGATATCATCTGGAGAAGGCTACCGTATTTTATGTATCTTAGTCCGATTTTTTACTTTTAGATGGCCTTAATTAACGAACTGCCCCTTGCGACTCTGCTCAAGTAGGACAAGTACTAAAGCTCCTCACTGCGGTAATATCATAAAGGCCCAAATCTGTCATTGAAATTCGCGGAAATTTTCATTTCCGATTCACCGACGAACAAAAGATTAAGTTGATAATGTTTTTTAACATTTTACGCGCAGGAAGAGAACTATTGTTGCGCTTTTAATTTAGTCAAAAATTTCCGCTTTCCCCGTTACTTCAGCTTTTGTGTCGTTTTTTGATTGCAACAATCTAACCAATCTCGTATTTATAAATAGTGAAATATTTATCGTATGGGTTATTTTTATGTACTTTTTTGATTTACTTAAACCGCACTAGAGAGCCCTGAATGCCTCGTTATCACGCTATAATTTCTGAAGAAGAAAGCAACAGCTAAAAACAACATTCAGTCGACGAATAATTAAGGCTGGTCCGGAGTTAGGTTTGAATATTTGGCAGGACTTCACAGCGTTTAATGATGTTGTATTGAGCTTCTATGTATTTAACATTGCGTGCATAAACGCACGACCACTTAACCTTTCATAACAGTCCGAACATTTATTATTCTTGAAAAAGTAGATTTCCTTATCTTAAATTAATTGAATTTGGTTCTCAAGGTCGCAAGGGCAGCGGACTTGTATGATTACTCTAAGAATGTGTTTATCACAGATGCAGCTGCTCACGTACTCAAACTTTCCCTCATATTATCTAAAAGTGTTTACAACGTGGGATGCACGCTACGGGGGAGAGCTAATTTTTAAATGATGCAAAGTTAGCAAGCTAAGGTACGAAATGAACCAGTAACAACCAAAATTTATAATTAATAAAAAAAAAATGACTGCACTCTTCAACTATACTTTTCATAATGAGTAGTTCTGCTAAAAGGTACGCTGTATTGCTTGTTGTTGATTGCGATATTTTCCCCTTAAGCGTCTTAATCGCTTTTAAGTAAGAGCAGAGTTGTGCATTACGTCAAACGGCTCGAAAATCTAAGCCCATTTAAGCCCTATACGTGTTGCACTCAGCTATTCGCCAAAAGAGTGGAGAAGTAGCAATGCGGAAGTTGCTTTGAATCAATCCAGCAAAACCCCTAACCGAAACAAAATTTCGTTTCTTGTCGTATTTTCATAAACTTCAACTTGATTGATTTCTGCATGCTGGTTACATCAACGCGTGTGTCTCTGAAGCCTGTTACGCGTTATGCCCTCATAGAAGCAAGTTCGTATCACATCTCGAATCAGAGTATCTATTGCTGCTGTCATTGTGAACAGCTGTTCGGCAAATTCTTCGCGATAAAGATTTCGCGAAGTGTCGGTTTATTCAACAAGACCTGACATAGTAAGAGTAAAATGTCACAAGCTTAAAAACTCAAAGGACTTGCTAAAAAACTTTCTAAGTGGATCGAAGAGTTACTTAGAACATTACAGACGGTTCAGTTTTCCTTCGTTATTTTCAAACAGTCAGTGTAGACAATTTTGAGATCAAACAAGCCAGCGTAGACTTCGTTTTGGGTTGATTTGTTCGATGAACAGTCACATTTAATTTATCTTCATGTCTTAAATATTCGTATAGGGTAATCTGTTTCAAGGATTAAAAGAAACTTACGCATTGGTAATTAACGTTTGTTTACAAACGCTGTAGAAGTATAAACAATTCATCCTAAACAGACCTCTTTTACTCATTTAGCTTAAGCAGTTTATCCTACGTATGCTAGGGTATAGCCAACGTATAGTTACTCATGAACTAATACCGTTTTCAATTTATCTTAGAAAAGTGGTCGTGGTGGATATGGAAGTGTTCAAGATAGTCCTACTGTGTTTAGGTGCATGTGGGTTGTTGGCTAAAAAGTTCCACTTTGAAGGCGAAAGAAACTTCAGAGAGCTCTCTCATTCAAACGATAAACCAAGAAATCTAGTTCAGGATATCGCAAGTTGTGTCGCTTGGGTTCACCAAAAAAGGTAGCGATGCGTATCGAAAACTAGATTCAATTTTATGGAGTCCAACGCTGGTAACATCAAATTGCATTAAATAGCTTAGTAACCTCACTTTCTTTCAATTTGAGAGTATGTATATGTATATATACATTTTTTTTTCAAATAATGATTTAAAACTGCTGAAGTTTGCGCTTGGTAAGCCCGGATTTTCCTTAACATCCACGACCCCAGAGCGCGAGAGAATCGTGGGAGAATGGCAGAAAGAGTGATTAGCCGTGCTCGCGTACGGCTAGTCACTCTTTCTGCCATTTCTTACTACACGTCTAAGCACAGATCAATAGATCGGGGAGCGGCTTTGTTCTACGTCATGCTGGCACTAACGGGATAACGGTCAGCTAGACAGAACAGAGAAAGCTATACGAGAAGTGCTCTGTGATCGTAAGGTCGTAAGAACGATATTTATCAGTCCCTCGCTGAATGCACAACATTAGGGAATGTTAAGGAAAGGCTTATGACCGCAGGCAGTAAAACGACGTTCACTAGCGGCTTTTGCGCAGTTCATACGCACCTCCAGGAAATGTTCGAAAAGTATCCTTTCGACCGACTTCATTACTACTTGATGAAGATCAGGACTGGTGCTAGTGAAACCAGATTTTCAAGTAAAACATACCACTAGAGATGTGAATGAAACTTTGGTATTTTCTACCCTTAGACGAAAGAATATTATCTCCCTTTGATAGGTTATGCGAGTAAATTTTATCAGGATCACCTAAAATACGATACTTTATATAAGGAATATATATTCCGTATTCAAATGATAGATCTGAAATGGTGTCGACAATAGAAATGCGGAAATATACCAATTACTAACATCGGCTTACACAGCACGCTAGCGTGTATACTCAGCGAAATGTACATAGTCATAGAATTTTATATTTTCAGCTCGATTATTCTTGTTATCTCGAAAATGTTCAAGGAACTATCCACAACGTATGGAAGTGCAACAGCTTTAATATATTTTAGTGTATGTTTTAATCTGTAAGAGCTTTGTATGTTTTAATCTGTAAAACTTTGTCTTTATTACCTGCGAAGTAGCTAAAATCAGCAAGGTTTGTCAATTGAACAGCTAGTAAAAAATCTAGCTCAACTCGAAGGCAGAACAGGCCATTTATTTGAAACCTATGGAATGAATGCTGCGCATAATATTCAATTAAGTGTAAGTTAAGTATATAAATATTCCAAATACAATAAGTACATGTATTATACAATTATACAATAAGTATATGTATTATTTCACGATTCCAGTTCTAAACCGAATGTACAGGACTGTGCAGGAGATACATGCTTTGAAGAACTGGATTGTTTTAATGCATGCACTGGTACCTTTAGCTATATCGGGTTGGCTGTTCAGAATCCGGCTTACATTAACAGCAGTTTTATGCTTCATATAAGGTAATTTTAAGTTATTACGAAGGTTCTAACAAATGTTGAACATACTATCCCAAGTAACTACATGAACTGACACTATTTCTACTTATCTATCGCAATGGATCAAGCATAGTCAATATAGTGCAATTGACTTTTTGCACAGCGTCGCTCATAGATGTACTGATAGAGGTACCCCGTTCGCGTTTTTCTGTAGGGACAACATAGAAGGCATGCCGCTGACCTATTATGACTTGTCGAACGCATTTGGGGTGATCTACAAACCGACCCGTATTTATATACTTGTGCATGATTTTGGTGACTCTCCACACGGATGGCCTGTTCGCGTTAAAAATAGCATCCTTTCGATCGTAAGCAACGTTTCCGTCAGCAACACCAAAATGACTATTATTTCTATGAAAGTATATGTTATAGACGTTTGTCTTTTCGTCCCGCGCTCGATATTTTTGCTTCTGTTTAGCTAGTTAGAGTCCTGTTAGTTTGACTTAACCAACTAGCCAAATAAGTATTAACAAAGATCAAAGCTGAAGTTTAGCAGGAGAAGCGTAACAATGTTCTTTTACGACTACATGACGCTTGGGGCTAATAATTCGTCGCTTTCCTAATCGTTACGCAGCAGTGGCCGTTTACTATATAAAAAACAGCATTTTATTCACTCATTCACCACACTTTTTAGTTTGTTATTGCGTTATATATTGTATTATATTACATTATATTTGTTATTAGTGCGCGTCAGACAGATTGTGCTTTTTTGTCTGTGTCATTCGTTATTAAATTTGGTTGCTTGCATTTTCCAAATACGTTTTACTGCACTTCTTCGTTCCACCCAAAAACTGGTTATTTATAACAGCCGGAACGCTAAGTCACTTCAGGGGATTCTAATTCCATTGCTATCCTGAAATAAGTTAAATAGGGAAGAATATCTTTGTGACGCCTCACGACTGACACATGAACTCGTTCTCAAGACTTTTGTGCACCTCAAAGCAATGAATTAGATAGCCGCGAGGTAAAACATTTTGTAATTACTCGTCGTGGTAGATTTCTCTAATTAGTATGTAGCACAATGCAAAAGCTTTTTGTTAAAATAGGGCCAAAATGATGCCACATACTTGAACTTTGTAAAGTACATGATGTACTTTAAACACTTAGTTGTTAAGAAGCATGCACGAAATATGTGACTGTGTATATTGCATCTGAAGGAAAAGTACCTGATAATCTTGAAATCCAACGATTGTCGAGCGCATTAAGTTCGGGAAGCCATTTGGCATTTTCAGATTTCTTTTCCAATCTTCTTTCGCATCATGACTAGACCTGGGAACATTGTTGGCACCTGTCCCGTGTTCTTTTTGTTTGAGCTAATCTCTATGAGTGGCTCATACTCGAGGTCTGTTTTAAACTCTTTGAGGCAATTGCAACATGGGTAAAATGACGACGAGTCTTCAGCTATTTTTCATCAACTATATTATTTCTTATCTTATATAAATATACCTAATATACGGCAAGCAATAGCCATCCAGCTATTTTTGGAGCAATGAGAAAACAGCGGCACCAAAGTTTGATGTAGAATAGATATCTGAGAGTCGGCCAGAGGTGAAAGAAATTAATTGTCCTTTAAATACTAACAGTGGTCTCATGACCAAAGTGGTGCCGTAGCACATCACTCGAATTAATGGCACAACTGAGCATCGCTGATACCAGTAAATGTTAGCTGTTGGATTACTGTCGAATGAGTCTCTAACCCAAATAAAATGAAAAATACATGTTATTTTATTACATTATTAAAGGTTAACGAAACATTTGTACTTCTGCACAGGACGATCGAGCGTGCATAATAGTCGATTGGAGAGGCTCATTTCGAACGATCGATGGCTCTGCAGCTTACGCTCAAGCTGTGGTTAACACTGAGATTGTTGGACGACAGGTAGACTCTGAAGAAAATTTAAAAGTTGCTCTAAATGCTAGATACTATTGTATCGTATCTATAATGTTTCACTTTATTCACATTTATTCCAATAATTTATTTCAGATTGCCGTGCTTCTACAAAATCTTATGGAAGATTTTTCGTTTGTAATGAAGTCAGAATACATACACTTCATTGGGCACGGACTGGGAGCGCAGATGGCGAAGCCTTTCTCGGAGTATTTCGTGAAACTCACAGGACTTGCCATTGGCCGTGTTACTGGTTGGTATAGGGTTTCGTTCGCATTTACATGATGTCCTATAAGCGAACCTATAGGTTTCATTACTAATTACGAAATAAGCCTTGTAAAATTGACTGTGTTATTTTTAATAACACAATCAACCTTACTACTACTACTACTACTAAGAGCGCTACTTTTTTTAAAGGTAGCGCTCTTAAATAAAGCGAAGTAATATCGTAAACCGGTTCGATTAAAACAGATTGAGCAACGATACGCACTGAAGCTGCTCCGGTTATTCATTGAACTCTATGATTTTTACTAACCACCAATCACAGCGGACTCGAAAGCTACATTACCACTTAAATTTCTTTGGTGAAGTAAAAGGTTCAAAGCATGATGATTATCTAAGGGCGCTTTAAAAATATCATAGGCAATTCTGCCTATGAATACAATATGCCTATAATAAAAATTCTGCCTAAGAATTATTATCCTACTTCTTTACCCATTTTGTTACGAACTTATTAATGTGCAGCTATTTTTCATGTTTGTAACGCAGCGCTTGATCCGATGAGTCTACTATTTGAGGAATACAATAACACCATTGACAAATCAACAGCACTTTTTGTTGATGTTGTCCATACTTCGGCTCCAAACGCGGCCGCCGTACGAAGTCCCGAAGGCATGGTAAGCACTTTCTAGGCACCCCTCCCGCACGTCTTGGCTACACTCAGGCTTTACAAAAGTATGAGAAGTATATCAACTACTAGCATGAAACTCCTGTTGCAGGCAGTGGCTTTGCCTAAAATAAACCGCAATAAATAGAACAGTTTTCATCAGTCGATCCTTATCTAGGTCGCCTAAATTTAGCGAGCCCTAAGCTGCACATTTTGGGTACTCAAATTAATACTTAGTTTAATTACGCTTAAATCAACAATGAATGAACAAAATATTCTGTACTCAACAAGAGCTTGGCTACAGGAGCAGTGCCATATATATATATATATATAGCATATATATATATACCATATATGTATATATGGTACTGCTCTTACGTAGAAAGAGACATCTCAACCAATTTTTCTCCGTGTGCAAGAAACGTACCTTATAGTGGTCATTCTAGTTTTAAACCACCATTCACCGCCATTACAATTCCAATTCCGAACCTAAATTACTTCCTTTTTCCAAAATATTTCTTCTTAAGCCCACAAATACCGTTTAAATAGTAACTGTGCGTCAGTTGACATTAATTGATATAAGCATGTTCAAGTGCCACTTGCTTAAGTTACTTACACACAAAACATTCCTGCAGAATTAAATTTGAAACGCTAGTAGGCTAACAGTGCGACTCTTGTATTTAAAAAACGCAAGGGCTTAAGTAAATCAAAAGATGCATAAAGGTGCAAAGTTATTAATACAGCTTATCTGAACGACATAGCTAATACTAAGGAATTGACACTTTTTCTCTCTGAAACAATAATTTCTCAAAAATGACTTTCGTTATATTATTATTTCTTATATTATTTTCGAGTCCTTTATATCTAACACCTATTGAGGATCTTCCGGCTATATAAAAATAGCCCTTAAGTTTTCAGAAACCATATGAAAACAGACAATAATGTAAAGTATCGATCTGGAGCAAAAACTGCGATCAATTTTCATGGAATATAAATAGGTTAATTCATTATATTATTACCCCTTTCTAACGAAATTCTTCAACGGTTTCAGAAATGATCTAAGATGGGCTTTTTGGTATTCGTTGCAGGCGTTACGAGGTAAAGTAGGTGTGGTACGGCCGATCGGGCATCTTGATCTTTACCCTAACGGTGGAAGGAGGCAACCTGGATGCAGCAATGAGGGTACTGATGCTTTAAGTCTCAAAAAGATAATTTGATAGCTTACTTAACCAACTTTCATTTTATTTTCAATCCAGTTTATTTATTCACTCAAACCTTCATCCGACCCATTGCTTTTACATAATTCTGCGAATTGCCATTGATTTACTACCCTACGTTGACCATCATGTCTATTCGATATTACAATGGTCGAACCATTAACTTCTGCGTGTTTCAGAATTGATAACAACGCCAGTACATGGCGTGCACAAAGTAGTCACTGTAGAACACTCCTTATCACATAGACTTAGCTTTTCACTCATAGCCTCGAGCCTTGGGAAACAGTTTTCAAGACAAGCTTTTCACTCGTAGCCTTGAGCCCTGGGGAACAGTTTTCAAAACATCTTATTTTTTATACATTACTCCGTTGTTATTTTAGGCCATGTTTTACTAATTTCAAATACAAATGCCACCGACACTGACACGTTCACCTGCATTAAACGCCTCGCATCAAACGCTTCATATGCTACTCTGAACTACTTCTTAAGTAACGCCAGTGATTTTTGAACCTTGCTAAATGAGTAGCCGAAATTGCACACAAAAAACATTACGTCTTGCCTAAAGCGGTGCGTAGTACTGCTATAATTTTACAAGAAACTGTTTTCACAGCTCATGCTTTCTCTTTCTTAGCTAATTTTTACCGCAATGATTTCGAAGTCTTCTTATCGTGCTACTTGCAATATGGCTCTACTCGGTAACCCTTTATATGTATAACCGAATCTATTTATCGAAATGTTCTGTTGCCTATCTGTTTCATATAATTTATTTGGTACACAAACTTCAGGTTTTTTCTTGTTATTCCATTAACTTCCTGGAGTTATGAAAGCCTTTAAGGCATGGTGGTTTGGCATAAGCTTATTTTAATCCTATTATTATTATTTCCTACAAGAAGATGCGACTAGAATCCACTAAATTTGACGTTTAATAGCATTGAGGTAACTGTTGAGTACAACTTACGCTGTCGCTGTGATGAAACCTCTGTAATAATTATGATTAGATAAGTACGAGATGGATGCAACCCGAGATAAACGGGAAAACTCTAGTAAGCGATCACTCAGCACATAAATACCTCTTCGACCAGTTTCTCTCTCTATTCCGTCCTGATCAACATTTGTCTTCCATTTCCCTTTGCTTCGAAACGGCCGTTTCTCTTATTTCCTCTTTGATGTACCGTTTTGCTTTTTCTTCAGTTTGCTTCAGATATTTATTCCGCGTTATTTACTCGTTTGAAATCATTTCTTTAATCTGCCTCACTTTCTAGTCACCTAAATAATACAGGCTGGTGAACCAAATGGTGAGATACGCACTATTAGATGTAAACGGACATCCTATCCAAAAAACTGGAGAAACATCTTCGGGCTAGGATGCAAGGTATTATATGACGGTTAAACATCGTCTGAAAATGAGATATTTGTTCGCTAAATATACAGGAAATATTTATATATGAATATTATCACATTTGGTATTATTATAGCTTCACATCTTAGTACCAGCTTCACCTTCAGCTCAACTTGTATACTCTACCGTTAAGTCGAGCCAACCGATGCAAGCAGTAGGGTATGCAGCAAAGCTAGTCAGCCCTCTTTACATCGTAGTGCGAAGTTTTTTCAAATATTTACGAAGGTAGTTGTACTTGACTCCGGGACTGATTTAGGTAGGTCTTGGATGAGAATTTTTAACGATAAATAAGTAAAAATCTTTGGAAGAGAAGAAACGGACGCCAAATTGTTGGGGCCAAATAGCTGGACGATAAATTGTTTACGACGAATTGCAGAGACACATGCATTAATAATTAGTGACAAGAAAAAAACTAAAAAAAAAACGTTTTTCCTTACACCTTGTAGACGATGTCAAGTTATGCAGCCACAAACGCGCCTACCAGTACTTGGCGGCAGCGTTATCTTCATCAACAGAGTGCCTGTTCGCGTCCTACGGATGTAAAGGAGGTCGCAAAGAGTACCTTGAACAACGCTGTGTTCGAAATAGCGACCAGTTATTTTTACCGATAAACCTCGACTTAAATCCTACTTCCACTCCACGTGGCGTACAATTTTTTGAAGTGACACAGAAACCACCTTACTGTATGTGAAGTTGGCAACTGATAAATGGATAAAACAACGAATATCATTTGGTGTGTTTTGGTGTGTTTGCTTTAAGTGGTTATTGCTTTGAATCAATGAAAACAACACGTGAGTATTGACCGTACATAAAATGAACCGTTCGCCTGAAAGATTCAATTTCAGCTTAACTCAATTAGAATGCATGTTCTTGACGGCGCTCCGCAGCAAACAAGTGCCACACATGCAAGTAAAAAAAAACCTTAAATGGAATACATTTTCTTATTTCATCGTATCTGCCGTTATGGTTGTTGATGCAAGAATACACGGAACTTTATCGCTGACTAAATATCACCAGAACTATGACACATGACTCAGACAATTTTGGTAAACATCATAAAGGGATTAGAAGTTATAATATTCATATAATACTATAACTATATAAATGTTATTAATAATAAAATAAATAATAATCGATAACCCTATTAGTTCATAGTCGTAATTTAATGCTCGATTAATAAACCTTACACGTCCTCGTGATCGCGTTCAGATAAGCATAACAAAATTCTACCAAACCTAAACGAAGCAATGTTTCGTGTTACGAAATTATAACCATCTTGGTGTTATTATTATATTGTTATATATATTATTGTTATTATATTGTTATATAATAACAATATAATATATTATTGGTGTTATTATTATAATTATAACCAATTGGTGTCAAACGGACGCTAAAAGGCATTAGAAACTCCATTAGACAATTATCTAAAACAGAATTACATAAGAGCCTCGTATAAATTAGATACTTGGCATCGACAGAGCGTTACACGCAAGGCGACTATTGAAACCTTGTGCCTAATAAAAAATGGCAGGCAGATATGCTTATTCTACATAACCTTCGTTAGATACCGTTACAGTTTCAGTGCTAAATTTAAACCAGGCAATTGTTTCTCCAAAACAGTTTTAACAGTAGCTGTGTGCAAAGCGACATTGGTGCGTGTAAACTCGTCACAGTGTCGTTCAAATGTGTTCTGCACACACAAGAATTACAGAAATAAAATTTTCAACTAACGTTAAAAGTCCAAATTACAGAAGTTTAAAACGGCTGAAAAGTCCGACGGCGCAAAAACAATGTGGAGCTTATCAAGAGAACCCGCTACGCAATTTATACTCTTCTCGAAAACAGACACTATTCGATGTACGAAAAATATAAAATTACCAGAAATGACACTCGCATTATCTAGATAAATTACCCTTACATATAAACCCTATTAAAATAAAAATCTTTCGCTTTGCATCACCTTGGATTTTTCGGAAACTGCATGGAGACAGAAATTAACGTAGACCGTTGATTTCGGCCAGAAAGATTACTTTCTATCTTGAAAAATTTGATAATTTGCTAATTTTTAGTGAAAGCTAGTCATTATCCGATTTTTTTTCCAAGCGCACCATTTTCTTTCAAAATTAGTTATCGTGTTCTAGAATTAGATTTTTGTAGTAAGGATATCGGATACTTGATGTGATAAAGGGACACTGTCCGAATTTACACGAGGCAAGTAATATACATTCCATTTTGCTGACAGTACGATTGAGACCGTTCTAAATGAGTATTCTCACCACAAGACTTCCTTCCAGCGAAGCTTCATAGGTTTATGCGTCTAAGCGTCTAGCGGACGTTATCAATAAATGAAATGTTTATTGTTTGCATAATTCTCAGATAACAAATAAATCCAATATTCATTTTTTTTTTTTATTTGTTATCTACACCCCGCTCAGGTAGATCCCACAAGCAACTAGCATAAAAAATAAATTGTACTGATCAACACTTGCAATCATTGTGTGCTATATGCACGAATAGTCCACGAGTATTATAAATAAAAGGTCAAAATCTATCAGAATGTTGTTTATTATCTTCATGGTTTATTTGACATGTTTCTTCTCGTAATGATACCTTCTTCTGAAGGTGGGAGATGATCTCTTCAACACATGGCTGTTTTGTAGCTGTTCTTTTTATTAAATTGTAGTTGTTACTGGTGTGTATATTTTACTTGATGATGACAATTGTTATTGTTATCGTTCATTTAATCCTTTGTTAGTCTAGCTTTTTTTAACCACTCCTATCCAACTCGGCGGTAGAGCATCCACCTCTGACTGGCGTCTTCTCTGACCGTCACTCTCACCATGTTGCTGTGTGAGCTGAGGCGGGTAGAAATCGCGGAAAGGGAAAGCAGCTTCCAGATAGACACTGGCAGCGAGGGCCCTTGGAGGATAACTTAGAAGCCGTGTACTTTGAGCTGTTCGGGTTTAGCGATACCGACCTAATCACACAGACAGAATGTAATGAAGGCAACAATGAACTTACTTGATGTGAAAGATCAAACCGGTAGACATCATTGTTTTATTTTCTGTAAATACCTTCCTATTGTCAATTATTTTATTATTAATATATTATATACAGCCTTTTGAGGCTTCCTATGTAAACCAACTAAGGGGTCTGTTCGGGTTGGGCATGGCTTTCATAGGCCCACATGTGTCGTGCTGTAAATTGCGTAGTATCATCCAACCGATTAGAGTCATTGTGTAATATCAAGGTGCTCTAAGTTACCTTCGTTAGGAACTGGTAGATGTTATTACGCTGATCACCCTGAAGTTGCAGGACCTCACCGTACTCCGGATGCTCTACAACAGTTCCGTTGCAAGCAAAGTCCTTTTTGCAGGCACGGACAATTTTCTTTTTGTCGAAGTCTTCAGCAATTCCCTGCACTGTAGTCAGTGTCTTTCGTCCGTTGCGCTGCTGGATCCGGATATGGATCAGCCCGTCCTGGACCACAACCTATTATTAAACATAAAACAAGTAGATGCAGACACGAAGATTAATGTATATGAGTCAGTACGGGTGAGATTTATTTTTATGAGGATAAAAACATTATGAAATAAAAAAAAAGCACTATCTTGTGGAATACTAGTATAATTATATGAATCTTTTTTATTGTATCTGAATACAATCCAATAAAAAAGATTGCCCATGTTTTCTTTATATAACATCGTTATCGTCAACAGGTTCGTTCGCCGTCGCGCTTAGACATACATACCGCAGTTCGGATTCGGCGCTATCACAGAAATTTGATGAGTGGAGCGAGGTGTTTATAAGAACAGATATAATGTTTGATCATATAATATCTATAAATAGCTTTGTATGGATAATAGCCACACGTTTCAAATGCCCTCTAGGAAAGCATACATATTGATGGTTCCAATCCACTTTACCTTAACATCAATAAAAACAAAAGCAGTATAGTATATTCTTGATGACAATCACTACTGAATTCTAAAGAAGTGCTACAGCAACTATTATAGAGAGAACATATCTCAGATGCCACCTAGGGCATAGGGATATAGAATGCGCTTTTCACGCAACACCGTACAGCAAGTCAAAATACCAATAGTTCTTCTCCAAATAGTTTTGAAACTACATGCGGTTCTGTAAGCGGCCAAGTAAGCCAATAAATACCCGTTCACAAATGAATAAAGTAATACACTACCATTGATCATTGATTTCGGCTAACAAAAAGAAATCAACTGCACACCTACAATTACTAGCTGGTGAGTGCCAGATTGACCGTGGTATGTGTGCGCGCAAAAGACGCAATACAAACAGACAGGTCGTACAGGAAAATAACCAGGCTATCCCTAGCTAATCGTGTACTCGTACCCCTGTAGCCGACGGAGATCTTCCAGCACTACGATGATGTCACCAACCACACAACGCTGTTGGAACAGTTTCAGGATAAAACGAACACGACGCCATAGCAGATGATTAGGAAAAAAACTCAGCGAATCTATGCCACTTTGGAAACACGCGAATTCAAGAAAATTCGACGGGGTTGGAACGCTGGGAATATTGTAGCCATTGGGATATATGAGCTAAATACTTATCGAAGCTCAATTCATACACGGGACTTGAAAATGATTAGACCGTAATGTAGATTGTAATGTATGCGTCCTATTGGCAACTTCAGTCAGTCGTTTCGACCGATCGGTTGTCCACTCTGTGCAGATAAACAATAACAATCACGTGACTCATGGCATACTCTATATAGAGCTCAGTATTTCGTGGAAGCTTTCTTATATGGGTAATGAATGTTAAATCACTTGCAAATGTTCATATATTATTACACTTAAATTTAAAGGTTTAACAGAATTTAGGACGCCAATCGTCATTATGACGCACCAATATAAGAGAATGTTTGATAAAACGATTGAGTAAAAGGTCCCCATATCTAGATCGTTAGGGGTTTATTTGTATTAAGCACAAGTAAACTTTCAAGAGCGATTTCTCCAACAATGTAATTAGGACAGTAGTAGTAAAGCACTATCGCCGCTGAAATGAGAGTAATCAACCGATAATAGATTCTAACATCGTAGGATGAAAATAAAAATTGTTTTAATTAATATAATAAAAATTAATGGAAGAAAACCACAGCAAAATGTTTTATTAAACGGACATCGCCGCAATGTCTTTTAGAGTTCCTTTTACAACCATTTAATTGACGAATTCGTTACGTTAAGTCGTCATTAAGTTTAGAAAGCTGATGTATGCTTATGAATATGTTCGACTCGCTGCAAGTAACTGATTAATCGATCCCTTCTCTAGTGTATTCGTATGTACTGTGAAAGAAAATATTTGTGCTCCAATTATTGTTGTCGTAGATGTTCATCTCTAAATCCTGCTTAGCGCACTCTGCTCTCTTCTGCTTTCACTGCGACTCTGCTACGTTATAAGCTGGAAACCAGGCCTACTCACTTTAATGCCTTATGTTTCAATCCCCTACCTCCTTATTTGACCCACGCAGGATTCTCACAGTTAGAAACAAGCACAACGTGTAATAGAATTATCTGCCTGATAAGCATTTGGTTCAAAATCGAAGTTTTGCCTGGCCTTGTTATGTTGTAAAAACAACAATCGTTACAGTTTGAAAGACATCTGTACTCTACGCCGGAGCCATCCCGCTAAGATTAACCACCCCAAAAATCGATCTAGCTGAAGTCAAGAAACTAGTGCTGTAAACGTTAGATAGAACACAGTATTCGGTCCGATCTGATCTATTCCATCATATCTTCCGGAAAACGATAGATGTGTAGCAATAAAGCTTCGGTTGATATAACATGATTTTCATGCTCTGATTAGGTGTTCGACTAACCTGGTCATCTCCCCGAACCGCGTCCGTAAACGGATCGAAGGTCTTGAGGTTCTCGATGCCGGACATGCGCCTGCTTTTTGTGTTCACCTGCTGTTTTGCTGATAACTGCGTCGGAGTCTAGAAGGCTCCTTCCTGTATGTTGAGATTAGCCTGACGGAAAATTGCTGAAGCTATTCGTTGGTTTGACGCGGTGGAGCTCACTGTGGAGCTCAATGAATAGCTTCAGGGTCAAGCCCGCTGTACGTACAACTGACTTCTCTCTGAAAACCGAAATTTGGTGTTTAAATGTGCCACTGTTCACACAACGATTGCTGCACGTATAGTCACACCAGATATTCACTAGCACAGACCATTTGTCGCAACACGAGTTAGGACCAAACGTTTCTGCACCTCCCGACGATTTGGCGGGCAAACTGACGTCAAGTCGTTGATTTTTTCATGACTCACGCAAATCGCTCAGGGAATAATTTATTTCTCGGGAGTTTGTTTTGTCGATAACGATAGACGGAAGTTGTATTATTGACTGCGTAAAATAATAGTATTTAAAAAATTATTTGATATTTAATTATAAGAGTAGTTTCAAATTCGCCGCTAAACTGGCGACAAACACAGACTCCCATAGTTTGAATTTCTGGCGGTATCTTATGACGCCCTTGGCAGATGTGCAGCAGTGTCCTGTAAACCGAGCTACTTCGGCGAATTGGAAGGAAGAAACAGAATACAGCTGCCTGAGTGTTGTAACTTAGCTCTTGATGAACGGCTCTACATATACTTCACTTTCTCATCTTCGACAACGGTCTCTTATTGTACTGTGAGTGCGGAGAGCACGAACATCTGGTAGATGTAAAATGTGACCTAGTAATTGTTATTGAAATATAGAAATGTCAGGCGTAAGTCATGCGCTCACTTACAGGGAAATTCATGATCTATAACTTAAGTATTTATCTCGACCTGTGAATAACGTAAATATTTCACGCAATTTATTGTAATTTATAGTTTTAAAAACCGTAAAGTTTTCACATCTGTATGATTATAAGACTGCTCACGATTGTAAGGTGTGCGATGATTCCATCGCACCCAAAAGTCGGCTAACACATATGTTCATAGAAAGTTATCTTTATGGTGCCATCTAAGAGGTATATCAGTGCATTCATTCTCTATACAACTACGTTATAGATTTGCATTAAGCAAATGAAAAAACCTAAAACTTAGTTATTCTTCGCAATTCGAAAAACGCTTTAACGAAAAATGTTTTAGAGAATATATACTGGTTAATGGTAACTTCTCATTATTCTTTTTCCGAAAATAATTAGCTAAAAATAATAAATGAACCAAGGTTAATCTTTGGCAAAAATAATTTGTTTTGACATGCTATTGGAATATGAACATGTAGAAACTTTTAAGCAGATACACACCTGAATAAAATTAATCAGATAAAGGTCACCTTCGAAGCGGTTCAGTATACTTGTAGGCAACACCACAAACTCTTACATTAATCATTAATCCATGTACGCTTTTTTTTAATATCTAGCTTTTTTTTTGTATTCATCATTTGAGAAAGAATAGTCGAAAACTATAACGGAACGTTTACGAAACAACCAAGTTGTAATCTCGGCTTCAGCATATCAAACGTCTCTCACATTTCAAGGTATTATAAACAGAAAAGTTACATCGTGACAATAACATATTTTATCAATGGTGACGATCCAAACCGAAGAAAAGGATTTTGCGAACGGAACTTTGAAAAATATGAACAGGACGCACAGTTTTCGGGGAAAATATTTTGGGACGATAGAGCTACACCCGAATCAAAAGACTTAAACAGTCAATTACACTTACTAACTGGAAATCCACATGTCTCACAGGAACACTATATAAGTTCACCAGGAGTTATGGTGTAGTAACATCTACAGCAAGGGTTTAATCGAACCGATTTTTTAACGGTACAGTGGCTGGTGCCATTTTTTAAATTTTTTTGCGGGAATATGTTTCAGTATGAATCCAGAGGGACTTGATGAAAATGTCGAAATTGATCTTAGCGAAAACCTTCTAAACAAATGGATTCGACGAAGATGTCCTATAAAATGCAATGCCCGTTCTCCATACTTGACGCCAATGGCTTTTTATGTGATGATGCTTTAAAGGTACAGCTTACGCAAGAAAACTGACGACACTGGAAGGTTGAAAGGAGCAATTGAGCAAGCATGCGCTACAATACGAAATGCAATGTTTGGTAGAGTTCGTAAATATATCAACACCCTATCTTTATGAGCAGTGTGTTAAATAATAAATTTAAGCATATACCCCTAGAGAGAAGTCATACGTTTTATGTAGATTTACTTGTAATTTAAATATTATTCATATGTAAATAAAAACTGAAGTTTTAATCATTGAAACTGTGCAGATTTTTTGGAATTATATATACAGATATGAAACCTTTAGTGGAATTGTTTGCCAAAAGATTAATGATCGTCATCGACAAACGAAAATGGGGACAAAGCTACCGTTCATTCCTATAAATTCCTCCGTACAGGCAAACCTAAAAAATTAGACTAACTACGCAGTCGTTTTACCATTTAATTGGCCAGAGCATCGTGATTTTGTTGTTTTGATGCAACTCAATGTGCAAAAACCCATTATGCATTTATTGTTTGTGCTTAATTAATGACTGAGACCTGATATCTGTTGTTTAAGTGACTGTGTCGTACGCCAATTGGTAAATTTTCAGTGGCTTAAATCGTGCATGCATATGCGCGTAATTTCATGGGATTTACTTTGCACCGATAGGTGTCTTGCTAACCGAGAGCTTATTGTACTGTAATAATTTTTTTTATAATATTGATGCGATAGGATGCTCTTTTATGATAGGGGCTTGGTATAACAAAAAACTATGAAAAGACCTATTTTACATGAATAACAAAGAAAACGCTCAGTCACTTAAAACAACTTCGGCTTAATTTAAACCGAATTCGACATTCAGTGCTGCATTGGTAGACGGTTTTCGACTCCTTAGAAACGGTATTTCCGCAATCTAAACTAGCATAATTGTAACACATTTCGCACTACTTCTAGCTAGATACGTACTAGGTACGTATTCGATGAATGAGCTTAGTAGGTAGCCTCCTTTGTCGATTTTAGAAGGGCAAATACGACACACTTGTAGAATTGTCAGACCATTAATGTTAGGTACGAATTACACACGCTCCGCGAAATAAAAACATAGAGAACAATTATTCTGAATTAGCTGTAACAAATTAGTGCGTACCAGGCTTCTGAACTCTGCTCCATTCATCGACTACAAGGAAGGTTACAAAGTATTGCACGTTCCAAGTTTCTTGCAAAGCGCACAAGGCTGCACCGTTTTCTTGTTTACTAAAAAATTATCGTTTGAAAGTCAATGCATATAATTATAACCAGAGAAGAAAGCGGAACCGTTGCGTTTTTAGATTTGCTCGTTTTAAATTGATATTTACGTTTTTTTTTTTTGAAGTTTTAATGAAACAAGGGTTTTGTTAACTTAGCAATAAATTGTTGATTTCAAAATACACTTACTTATTGTTATTGTGCGTCCTTTCCAACTAAACGCAGAGAACAAGTCACAATGCCATTTACATATTTATTAAACATTTATTGTTGGTTTTGTTGATTTTTATTACCAGTTGAAGTAATATTATTAGTATTATTATAGTGTACAGTGGCTTATGTTTCCAACTTCTTCATCTGTCTTACGTTGCCTCTTATATCAAGGTTGCTCTTACTGTGTTTAGCTTCAGGCAACCACTATTTCTTTAATTTTCCTGTTTATCTCCATTTTATGTTCAGCTTCCTCACCTCACCTCACCTCCAGTTTATTAATCACCACCGCTATCATTTGTATGTCGATGTTTTTTCAACACCTTTGTTTACTGTATTGTTCTCCGCTTGCTACTGTCAGCACGATATCTTACCCCATTTACTTTTCACAGGTTAATCAGTCAGGCTTTCTACAAGGCCAAGAGGAAATGTATACGCATTTTCTTAATTAAATTGATTTCTGTGATTTTTGCTTACTTACGTGAACCACTCGTACAGCCAAGAGTACTCTTCTTTCTTATCAATTGCAATAAGAGTGTCGATAGTAATACATTAAAGATGCACTCAAACTGTGTATTCCTTACCATTCACCTGTCTCAAAGCATCTTTAATTTTGTTTCGATAGTAGTAATAGGAGAGTGCGTATTCAAAACACTGTTTTGTGTCCCATCTTCTTTAGCCCAAGCTCAACTTTTTTTTTTCTGCAGAACAGCAGCTTCTTATATATATATATTAT